CTAAGATGTGGGGGAGACAGGGACCTGCTCATCAGGACCCAGGACTCGAGACTCACCAGTCTCACACTGAGAGGACCATGAGAGATCAAGTGTGGTGTCCTGACCACCCTCTCACCTGAACCAGGAAGGTAAGCCAGGAAGTGGCACAGAAACAGCTGGGTCCTGGTATGCACAGGACGTGGTGTTCCTGTCACTGTCACCCTTACACGGGTGACAGCTGCATCTACAAGAGCCTCTGCTGGCACAGCCAGGTCACTTGTTCCGCTCATTACCTGAGGGTCCTCTCTTGGTTTCATATTTCGTCATATTTTGCAGAAATGAAATGCAGTAACCTTCAAGTAAGGGGCCTCTGTACCGAAGTGACTAAGACACCAGGTTTTGCAAGGCAATGTCTGCACTTGCAAACAGGTCCCCAAGCAGAGCTGACTTAGGACCTACAAGTAGAGAACATCCCCAGAAAGTCTTGGCAGCATGGAGAAGGGACATTCGGTCCCTCTTCAGGTTCCCAGGCCTCCCCACTAGAGGTAGTTAAGGTAACTCTGCAGAGAAGGCCAGAGTTCTCTGAACAGCCACCCAGCTATGAGGGGATCCTCATCACTGTGACTTTTCCCACAGGCCTGGAGGTGGCTTCCATGGCTATCCTTGGTCCTCACACCCTTCACGCTCCACAAGTCTTTTCTACAGGTCTCCGTTTTTATAGAATTTGCCAAGTCAGCTAGGGCAGGCTTCTGCCATCTTGCGGAAGCACAGTGGCTCTTGACCACATTGGGCCTGCGAGCGTGAGTGACCGTTTCTCAAGCCTCTATCGAGGCACTGCACGCAGGGCAAGGTGACAAGCTAAAACAGAACCTTGCCTTAGCCTGCAGGGCTCTGGAGGTTTGCAGCAAGGTTAAGAACAAAGTGGAGGTCCCTCTTGCTGCAGCTGACCCTGACCAATACTGTGGCAGAGCTTCGAAGTCCTCCTCTGAGAGCTCAGGTCTTGAGACCAGATTTGGGATAGACAGGGCTCACAGGTCTACATTAGAAGACCTCCCCAGGGCCCAGTGACTCCGCCTCCAGGGCAGTACCCCACCCTTAACTGGCCAAGTGGTCTCCTGCTTACTGGAGGAGAGGACCATGCACACCCAAGGCCCAGCAGCCAAGGAAAAAGGGTGGTACTTTATTTTGGTGGTGACCCGCTGCCAGGGACACACATCCTGGGACCTCCCACGGCCCTGCAGCACATCCTTTGGCCAGCTGGGCATCTTAATCCCTGCTGGCCCCTGACTCTGCAGCTATTTAGGGTAGGACTTGTCATGGCCAGGAGGCTTCTAAAAAACCCAAGTGGTACTTGGTCTCCTGCCTTAGGGCCTGAGAGGGTCAAAAGTAGCCATGCCAAGAACTGGATTAAAGAGTAACTCCGAGCGGGAGACTTTGGAGTTAGCAGAGAAAGTGACAGAATTATTTTTAACCTGCTGCAGCCTAAACTTCTTTTGGCAAAAAGGCAAAGCAGCCGGCCCTAGATCAGCCAGAGAACCAGGTGCTGGCCCAACCAAGCCTCCTTGTCTATGATATCTGTCCTGGACACTGGCCCAACCACTGGGTTGGAGAGAGCTCTGAGAGAGCTGGGAGGGCAGTTCTGAGACTTGACCAGTGGAGGCAAGAGCCCCGCCTCCTGCCAGTGACACCTTTCCTGGTGTGTGTGTGGATTCCCCCTCCATGTGACACTTTTAACAATGGAGAAAAAGAGAGACCCCCGCTCGGAGCCAGAGTTCCTTCCGGGAGGAGGTGTAATGTAGGGGGAGACCCAGTTCCACAGCAAAGCGATCCAGACAAGAAGGGTTCTGGGCGGCGAGCTCGGTCCCACTCCCTTCTTCTGCCAACCACACCCTCACTCCCGTAACCGCCCCCCCTTCTGTATCTCACCCCTCCTCTCTCCTCTGTCCCCCGTCGCCCCAACCCCGTGCACACCTGTCTGTGCTGGGGACTGTCTTCTCCGCGTCCAGCGAGCTCACTTGCTCGCAGGTGCCACGCTCCCAGACTCCGCCCGCCAGTCGGTCCGGGGCCACTGAGAGGGGGAGGGAGGAGAAGAGAAGGCGGGAGCCCGAGCGTGGGTGGGGGAGGGGCGGAGGCGCCGGGGTCCCTGAAGCGACCGTTGCAACAGTGGGAAAGGGATCTCAAGGGAGGAGGCGGGGCATGGGCGGGATTCAAGGGGAGGGGGCAAGAGCAGGGTCCAGGGGAGGAGGTGGGACAAGGGCGGGTTTGCACGGGTGGAAAAGGGCGGGGTAGGGGCGGGTCTGGGAGAAGGGAAGTGCTTGCGCCCCCAGTCCCTTTCAGTCAGGAGGTCTTCGGAGCCCAGCCGAGCCCGGGTTCAGGTGCACCTGTGTCCCAGCTCTCTATACCTCGGGATCTGCCCTGGAACACTCACAACTAGCCTAAAGGGACTTATGTCCACTCTGACGCCCCAGCTGACGTCTGGGGCTGGGTTTGCGAGCTCTCCCAAGACCCCTTTTCTGCTGCTCCAGGTGGAAGAACCGATTCAGGTGGAAACCCCCTGGCTTCAGACAGGTTCCACGAGCCTTTCTGGCCTCCGCGTTCTTATCTGACCTGCAGGCGGAAGAGCGTGTTGATTGTTGAGGTTCCGTGGGTTATCATCTGTAGGGAATCCTAAACGCCACTGCAGACCCCAGATTGCCAAGAGGTGCATTCACGATCCCCAAGAAAGACCATATGGTCAAGCACTCCATTCTTTGGTATCAAGGCAAGAAGTCAGTCTTTCCCGTCCCCCAGTACTCATAACAGCACCCCTGCTTTCTGAGTGTCATGGACAGGAAGGGCACTGTGTCCGGAGACAGCCTCAGGTCTGTCAGAAGACACCCAAAGAGGCCACTGTTTGATGACCCGGCATCTGCCAAGGCTCCAGGGCAGGCAGGCATTCATTCATCATCACAAACGGGCAACTAGATGTAAACCTTTAGATTAGAGGGTGGGCATAAAAGTGTCTCCAGTGGCCGGGTAGAAGTGGGAGCCTCTTCTAATAGAACAGACCCTGGAGAGGGAAGCAAATCAAACAGGTATGGGAAATTATAGCCATGGCTGGACCCACTTGAGGGGTGGCACTGACTGAACTGAGCAGGGTAGGTAAGATGGACACTCCTCTGGGATTGGGGTGACCACTAAAGGGCCCTCCCTGTGGGTGGGTATGCCATTCCTGGAGTGGATGTTCTTAGGCAAGCCTCAGCACCCTGCCCCGTTCAGAACTGGGCACATCCCCAGCCCAGTCTTCAATATAGAAGCTTTTCTGTCTGGGCCAGGTGCTGGTAGTGGGGAAAAGGGATGGGGGAGCAGAGTACCCCACCAGCTGAGCAAGGGCTGTGGGGGGAAGAGCTCGGGAAGGACTTGTGAAGCTTGGAATTTCTTTGCTTTTTTCTTTCTTATATTTAGGTTATTTTAGATTTTCCGTATGTTTATGGATGTTTTGCCTGCATGTATGTCGGCACCACTTGAGTGCCTGGTGTCCAGAAGCCAGAGAAGGGTGTAAATCCCGTGGAACTGGAGTTATAGATGGTTGCGAACTGCCATGTAGGTGCTGGGAATTGAACCTGGGTCCTTTGGAAGAGAAAGCAGTGGACTTAACCACGGAGCTACCTCTCCAGACCTTTAAAGGCAGTTTTCTTCAGTTAGCCAGGGAAGAAGAGGAGGCATTGCCTTGTACTGGCTGGCTGCTAGGAGGTGCTGAGGGGTAGGACTGGGTTTCCATCCTGAAATCTCCCACACATACCCAAAGGGTCAGACTGGACCTGCATGAAGCTCGCTCTTTCTTTCTCTTTCTTTCTTTCTCTCTCTCTCTCTCTCTCTCTCTCTCTCTCTCTCTCTCTCTCTCTCTTTCCTTTCTTTCTTTCTTTCTTTTTCAGTTAAAACAAAATAAAACAAAAAACAAAGCAATACAAAAACTGGGCCCATGCAAGTCCCAAGGCACACATGAGAGGGTCAGAGGACAACTTGGGGGAGTCTGTTCTCTCCACTGTATGGGTTCCAGGGATCAAACTCGGGTCATCAGCCTTGAGAGCAAGTGTTCTTACCCACTGAGCAGACTGACAACCTCCACATAAGGTTATTTAAAAAAAAAAAAAAAGGCAAAGTTCCTGTTTCCCATGATGGCATCAAAGGACCCTCTCTACACAGCTGTATTGAATGTCATTTAATGGAGCAATGAAAGTTCACAGAAGTACAAAAGCAGCAGCCCCCATGCATAGAGTTCCTGTGGGTTCACAAACAGCCGTCAACACCGGTGTGGAACCAGAAGTGGCCAGTGCCGCACGACTCCACACGGGTGACACTGCAAAGAGGGGTAGGAGCCTTCCTATCCTAGGACTAAAGACTTTACTAGGAGACTATGCAAGCATCCCTTGGCAACCAGAAAACTGTCAACCCATTAAAACACCAGCACAGCCCTAAGTAGCTCTGCTGGTAACGAGGCCAACCCAGGACACCACCCTGTTTTGGGAAGCTGAGAAGCAGCTTTCTGCCTTTCAGAAAATGTTAGGTTGGGTCTCAAGTGAGGCAGTGCAAGGGACTTGTGCAGACAATGATGAAGCCCATCCATGCCATTACACACACATCCCAGCAGCCCCTGCTGGTGTCAGGCTTGTTAGCCGGGCAAGCCTTTTGTGCCTGGCAGCTTCAAGAGCCCCAGGCCCCAGAAAAAGACACAGGAAATTACCATCACAAAGGAGTGTGGTGGGGAGGGCAGGAAGCTCAGGAGATCAAGTCGGTTCAGGGGTCTTTGCAGGGGGTGGGTAGGGAGGGAGGAGGGAGGGAAGAATGAGCAGGTTTGGTTACCATTGCCAAATAGAAAGGGTCAGCTGGTAATCTGATGCCTCCCAGAGCAAAGGAAGCCCCAGATTTGCTATGGCATTCACAGACCAAGTTCCTGGCTTTTCCACTGGGACACAAAGCAGGTACATCGACTCCTGGGCAGGCTGTAACTGTCTAGTGACTACAGTGGTTTGTGTCCTCAGGATATCTCAGTGGACCATTCTGTGCAAAGGGGACTCATGGGCTTGGAGACGCCACAGCATGCCCTAGGAACACCAGTCAGTGGATCTGGGCTTGCAGACACCGTCAGGCACACCTTTTTTGGTTGTTTGGTTTTGTTTTGTGACTTCACTTCAAGACTGCTCCTTCTCAAAGGAGAAAGCTCCCCACAGAAGGTATGGTGTTCCTGTTTGGCCTGGTTGTTCCCAGCAGGGCTGACTGGTATTTACTTTGAATTCAGAGATCCTCCTGTCCTTGCCTCGAGGAGTGTACCACCGCCACCCCCAGTTCACTAGGTACCCCTTTACAGTGTAAAGCCATCCCAGGTTTAGATCCAATGCAACAGGACTGGGGCCTAGGGGCACAGGCCAGGGATGATGCCAGGCGACCAGAGAGGCAGGAATCAGGACAGATTTCCCAAGCAGGAGCAGGGACCCAGACATTATGGCCTTGGATCTCTATCCTCGGGAACTGTGAGGATAGATTCGTCCACAGTGTCTCAGAGTTTGAGCTGGTTCAGCAGTCCCGGAATCAAACGCCATGAACAGGGAAGCACAGGGCATGATGTAAAGATTCCACACATGCTCCCCCATGGTCTCTTCCTACCGGAGACAAGTGTTCTGTGCCACATACAGGAAGTCAGTTGTGAGAGGAAGAGGACAGTACCTTTCATCTAAGAGAATGGATAACCCAGAAGGGGGTCCCAGAGAAACCTATACCCAGGCTGTATCAGGGGTTGGAGAAGGCCCACTAGACACGCAGAAGGGACATTTGGTCTTGGTCTCTGCCTTGGTCCCTTGGAATTCCCATCCATTAATCTCCACTTTGTAGCAGGCTTTCTTGGATCGCCAATTCCCAAATTATGACACAAAGACTTATTAGTTATAAATGCTAGGCCTTATGTTTGTTTCACTAGCTCTTATAACTTAATTTAACCTGTTTCTCTTCATCTATGTTTTGACTCAGGGTGTTTTATCTTTCTTTCGTTCTGTATGTCTTACTTTCCTGCTTCCTCTATGCCTGCCGACCCCTGCCTGCCTGGCTGGTCCCTGCCTGGTCCCTGGCAGCTGCTGGCTGGTTCCCCTTTTCTCTCTGCCCACCAGCTCCACCTATTTCCTCCTCTGCCTAGCTATTGGCCATTCAGCTTTTTATTCTATCAATCATGTGCCTTAGGCAGGCAAGGTGAAACAGAAACATGTGGTGGTATTTTGTTTGTCTTTTAACAAATAAAGCTTGCCTGAAGATCCTAGCACAGAGCTAAGCCGCTAGTTAGCCACAGATGCCAGGTAGTGGTGGCAAACACCTTTAATCCTAGCACCAGGGAGACAGGGAGTGATATGGCTGGATGGAGAGAGGAATATAAGGCAGGAGGAGACAAGAGCTCTGCTGCAGTCTGGAAAAGCATTCTGAGGATTTGTAGAGACAAGATCACCCCTCTGGTCTGAGCATTGGTAGAGGTAAGAACTCTAGTGGCTGGTCACTCTGCTTCTCTCATCTTCAGGCAAGATTTGTTAATTATAAACAAAGTATCACCACAGAAACACATCTTTACCTAGTTAAACAAATGCAGCGTAAACAAAGGCAACACACCTTTAAATAGTTAGAGTAATATCCTGAAAAAATAAACACATGCAACACATCTTTATATAATTAAAGTAATATTTTGAAACATAAACAAAAATAATACATCTTTACCTAAACAAATGCAGCACAAACAAAAGCAACACACCTTTACATAGTTAAATAATCTATTCCACAACACCACTTTGCATTTATTTATTTGCTATTCAACTCTAGGTGAGAGAGCCAAGCTGGATGTCGAATCTTCTGACGTGGGGTGAAGAAGCCAAAGCCCCAGAGGTCAGCAGAGCTGGGCAGAGCAGAGGCAGGACACTGGCTCAGGCACCTGCAAATCCCATGTCCCTCACTCTCGAGGTGACAAGTGAGGGAGTGACCCAATGTTACTATCAGGTAGCCTGTGTGTCAGGTGCCCTGAAATGGGTGGCGAAAAGTCAGAGGTGCCGCTCAGGTCCCATGTCTGCAGAGAAGGCTGATAGCACCAAGACCTTCTTAGTTACAAAAGACTTCGCAGGTGGAGAACCAGAGGAACTTGCTGGGTATCATCCCCGTCTCACTTAACCAGACATTTCTGGGTCCTCCCTCTGGTCCCGCAGGTTCAGGATTGTCAACTGCATGGGCCACGTGAAGCCCTCAGATGGCCAGGAGCCAAGAATTCCATTGATCATCGGCGTATCACAGCAAAGCCTGAAGCCCACCCTTCACTAGAAACCACTCACGTGAGGAAAGTGGCATTGGATCCCATGGCCCCTCCTGGCTCCTAGGTGATCTACTCTGAAGGTTCAGGTGATAGCTGGGGCCCAGATGTCCAACAAAGGAGCTCAATATCCTGATGTTTTATTGTCTGAAGTATGAGCATCCAGGACATCCAGCTGCAGGGGGTGCCAGGCAGTGAGGAGCCTAGAGAAGCAGACTCAGGAGCGCTCTGGAGGTTCCTCAATGGTACCAGAGTTTGCCTACTCAACTGGAAATAGCTGCCTGATAGTGAGACTGGGATGGCCGAGCCCCAATTTTTACAGAAAAAAGGAAAGGGAAGGTGTTCTAGAGGTGGGATACAAGACTAGCTTTGGGGTACACAGGAGGGCTGGTGAGGAAGACTTAGACACTGGGAGTTCTGATGCTAAGTTTCTTGTTCTAGGTATATTCAACATGTTCCCTAAGGCCTTGGACCACGGTTGTCATAGTGTGGCTTTACATTCAGATTTTCCAGAGAGCCCCCATATGCTCAAGGATGGAGGTGTAGTATCGATCATACCAGTACCCTGCCCCCTCTTCAGTAAAGCTAAGAGATTCTGTTTCTCACAATACCCATACAGTGTGGCCTCTTGCCTAACAGACATGTGTGCTTTGAACCATGGTTTCTGTTAGTAGAAAGTGTGTGAGCAACTGCATACCACATAGATTTGTAAGAAAACAGGGACGAGCATCTTTTCAGTCACTGGAACGAAGTCTCCTACGGGAAGACCCAGTGTATCAGGACTGCACACAGAAATCACTGGAACAGTCCACAGCAGCACACAAAATAAACCTCATGAGACATCTGATCTGGTTTAATTCACAATTTAATTCTTCAAAGCAGGTTATTGGGCTACCAGTTAAACATTAGTGTTGGAGAATGACATGTTTAATGTATTTACTATATCTGATAATTTAAAATAAATCCCGGTACTTATGATGATGACAGCTACAGATAACCATTCATGTTAAATACTCTTTGATTCTCTCTTATTCGTACATTACATTGTAGATGGACATTTTAAGTGGTAATGCAGACAAACATGATTTAAGACAATATATGCATATTAAAATTCTGTATCTCTTGATAAGGTAAAAAATAAAGCTATATAAATTGATAGACATTTTTCTGCAAAATTAGAAGCACACTTTCGTAACACTTCCAACACACACCTCTTCGTTAAAGCTTTGTTCAGACAACAGCATCAGAACCGCTCTGTCTATTCACCCGTCTTCTAGCTCTTCACACAAAGGATTGCATTCGCCAAGGGACTGTTTTTCCTGTTTTTACAGTCGTATGTGGGAAATTTCCAAAAAGAAATGTAGAACACGAGGGCCCGCTGTTCTGTGGCATTGCCGACGAATTACATTAAGATGAGATAAATGTGGTTGGCTGAGTCCAGTAGCAGTCAGTGCAGACAGACCTTGAGCTTGGGTTCAGAGGCCCAGACCACCAGAGGAAATGCTCTCAAAGTCCACCCCATGGTTCCAGTCCTGGCGGTGTCATCCCCCACTCTGCTACCTCAGCCTTCAGAGCCTCCTCCCATCCAGGAGCTCCCTGGGCGGGGCCTTTGGTCTGCTTGTACTCAGGAATGAATTGCTGGGATTGAGGGTCATGTTTTCCTAGCTAGTATAATGGCGAGGGGCAGACACCGCACTCAGGGTGGCATGCGGCTTTGCGTTGGTTAGCCTGGATCCCGCTGGCTGGGCTGAGGGCGCAGAGGGGGGTCCTCAGGTCAGTCCAGCACTGCTGTCACCCACAGCCCAAGCACCCTTCCTAGGTGTGTGTGTGTGAATGTAAGGAGCCTGATGGTCGCAGAGGGCAAAATCTCTGCACAGAGCTACCAGAATGGAGGCTGGAAGGAAAATGCACACGTGTGTTTGTGTGTGTGTGTGCACATATGTATACATGTTATACTAGCTTGTAAATGGCCAGGAAGTATGTGGGAAAGTAAGAGAACACATATGAAGCCAGGGCTCCTGGTACATACATGAGATGAACTGCTTGTAGGTAACAGAACCATGAATTCTGGCCAACATACGTTACATGTGCAACGCAATTAAGAAGATGCTTCACTTGAGTTAAAAGTTACTGGCTTTAAGGAAAGTAAGAAGCAGCCGCTGTGAGGTGGGGCGGAACATCTTCTGCACTCACATTCGGTCTCATTTCTGCATTTCACCTGTGCCCTCATCTGTTTCAAACTCTTAGGCACCTTCACGTGGTAATTTCCTAAGCACAATTTTAAAAAAACATTGGAGTGTGCACAAAGCCTGGGGTGTTCCTATGTAAACTTAGGCTATGGGGGGTAGGGTGTGAGAGAGTGTCCTCACACCTAGACTGGGTTGCAGAATGTAGAGCCTGCAGGAAGAATATTCTGTGTTTAAGGCTGAAGGATGGAAATAAAAAAAAAAAAAAACAGAAAACATGAAAATGCAAAGGATGGTGACAAACCAAGAAGAGACAATGGTTACACCCTCGGCATGCCTTCAACAGGTCATTCTCCAGGAACACCATGGAACAGAGAGGCACGGAGGGGAACCAGGAGGCTCACCCATCAGACACGGAGACATTCAGCCGGAACGCTCACCAGCATTTAAAGTGGCCCAAAACTCCTAAACTTAAAAAGTGAAAGCTTTAAAAACATACTTAAAAATCAGAAGATACACCAACAAATGACGAAGAGACATAGAAACAGCTATGCAAATACTTCAGTGCAAAGGCAATTTTAAGATCCCTAAAAAAATACATTACAAATAATTTGTTAACTAAACATACAGAGAACCTGCCCCTCCCCACAGGTATTATACTGGTACCTGTTTCGGGTTCTTAAAAAGGGCTGTAAAAATGCACACACCACTACTTAAGGGCTAGTGTGGACTGGGGCTCCAATCCTGGGCTGACACATGGCAACGCAGGAGGGTGAACGGGCATGAGGATGTATGAAGCCAGGGACAGCCCAGAGTGGAGCTGTGCATTCTTCTGTCTGTTCACAGCTCGAGGCCATCCCCCCATCTTTGGTGTGGTGTTCATGTTCACCCGGCCCTCCAGCTGCCAGGTCCAATAACTGCTCCGACTGTCGGCTGGTCCACCAGCTCAAGCACACTGTTTGGAGGGAAACCTTATATAATTGTGTAACAAAATTTGTGCTTCCCAGGTTGTAGGCTCTCCAGTGACCGTGACCCTCACTATGGCACCAGGTCCACCACACGATTCCACGGGGATGGGGATGGCTTTCTCCCAAGTTCGGGCTGGCACTTTCTGCAACATCTTCCCTCTGTTAGGCCTGTTACAGCTCGGTCGGATTCTCCACTAGAAACAGAAACTCCAGCGCAAGAAGCAGCAGGGATTCACAGTACAGTGGCCTTCCTACGGCCTGTCCATGCCAGGGAAAGCCCTGGATGGGATCTGTGTGGCACCTGTGGGAGGCAGGCTGAGCAGACTAGAATGGGTGAGTCCACACTGGCCCAGACAGCTTTGGGTATGGGACTCACCGCTGGGTGAGATAAATACCTGCCTGGGTGCCCCAAACTTCCACCTTTCCCAGCACCCCTGAAACAAATGTTTTCCAATAAGGTAAACTAACATTGTTCTGGGATGTAGTGGATATCGTGACACTCCCGGGAGACCTGATTTTAACAGTGTGACTTATCCATATACATAAATGTCATCTTCCACAGGCAGCCGGCGGCAGGAAGGAGACCTGACACCTTCCAAAGCTCCAATGTGCAGGGTCAGCATCTCCTCATCAAACAGACTCAGACATGATCCAGGGAAATGGCTCGTGAGGGGACAGGGACTGTGAACACAGCAAGGCCACGGGTACGGGAGACGCAGACCACTTAGTGTCTGATACGGCCACTTCCACATGGGAAGTGTGGGTGGTTTACACAGGAAACACGCGGTCAGAACACCAGGATGCAGCACGAGCCAAGCCCGTGTGCGGGATGTACAAGGCTGCAGAAAAGGACAGGGTCTTCTCCTCCAGTGCAGCAAAGGATGACAACAGCAGAAGGTGGATACTAGGGCCTGGCAAGGCTAGCTTCATAGCTGCAAGGCTTAAGGTGAAGCCAAGCATCATGTCCTTCTCCACAGCCCAACTGTCTGTACGGTCACCAGGCCTAGGACAATGATGCCTGTCTCAGTCCAGACTACAGTGTGCTGTGCCTGAGTGGGCGACCTGTGATCCCACCCCCACTTTCTTGAGAATGAGGGGTGGGGTAGGTGCAGGCACACACAGGCATCCAAGGACACAGCTCTCAGAGGCTGGGATAGAAGGCCGTCTGTCCATCAAGTGGGCGTTTCCAGGCTGGACCCACAGCACCCATACCTCGTGTTGTGGGAAAGGCCTGGGTGGGGAGGAAGCACAGTGTACTCTTCGCTCTCCCACCTCGAGCACACTACTCTCCCGGAGGAGGAGCTGCACTGGGCAGCCACAGGTCTGGTGCCCCGAGCACCCCAGCTCTGCAAAGAGGTCAAAGGGGTGAATTCTGAAACGCTGTCCCGAAGTTGTATGTTCTGCCAAAAGAACAGAAAACCCATCATCAGTCCCAGAACCTCTGAAGAAGCCCTAGCTGCCCATGCGGCTTCAGCCTCACCAGCCTACCTCAGACCACTAGGTCACCCAAAGGGGCAAATGAGGGGCCATCTCATACGAATTGTGCCTGGAGGCAATTCGCATTCAGGTCTGGGAACAAACACTCTCTATCTGAGTGCCAAAAGAAGGGCCATCCCACGTGCCAGGGACAACCTAGGAGGGCAGCGGGATAAAGTGCTAAACTCATTGAGCCTCTTCCCTGTGACCACAGGTATGTGTGGTTATCAAAGTCCCCAGAGAATCCTGAACTAGGGTGCTAGCCATCACCCCAGGACGACAGGACTCACCTGTGCAGGTTAGTATGTCCTAGCCTGACAGGCACTGGGGTCAGTGTCATGCTGACAACAACAAGCTATCATGCCCTTGGCCGACAGTTAACCAGACAGCAGTGGCCGGTGCTGCCTCTATGGAAAGCCACAGCATGCACAGAGAGCAGCGGGCAGCCAGGAGGGCGGGGCGAAAGGCTGCACAGTGCAGATCTCTCTCTGGGGTGACAATCCCCAGATCACACTACCTTCAGGTGAGCACTATGACTACAGCTGTGTGCTCAGCTAACAGTCTCAGCTGGACACTGACTGGGATTTGCCCAGTGCAGCCGTGTGAAACCTTACTTCCAATTCAAGACAGGATTATCCCAAGGAGCCTTTAAGTGAAGCTGTGTCTATCACAAGGACAGAAGCTTGCTTGTCAGGCAACAGTGGACATGGCATATTGGTCACGTGTCATTTGCACGTGCATACACACGTGTATAACTTTTTCCCTATGTGCTGAGCTCACTGTCAAGTGTGCCACTTACCTGTGTGTGTCTGTGCGTGTGTGTGCAAAAATGGTAGTTTGTTTTCAGAATAAATCACTCTTATTTTTTAAAAAAAGGAGGGTGGAGGGGACAACACAGCAAAACTTTGGAGGAGGAGCAGACAGTCTGAGAACCACAGCACACGGGCCCAGTGCCCAGCAGGCAGCCATACCGTTACCCAGCGCTGGGCTAGACACGTCTTGGCTGCGGTAAGAACTCCTTCAGCAGGGGCCTGTCGCTGCTCGAAGTGGCATCGGCCGATGCTTTGAGTCGGGTGCTCTTCTGCAAGGGCGAGGAAAGACACTGAGCTGCTGCCTGCAAGGAGGCCAGCGTAGGAGGCCAGGACCTGTGCCCTGGCTACTGCAGATTCAAGGCCACATTTACACTGACTTAGGCCATCCCCACGCTCTCAACCATGGCAGACCATGAGCTCTGCTTGCAGGGTCATATCACATATCAGTCATGATGCCATCAAGGTGGCCAGAGCTGGCTCCAGGGGCTGCCTGTCCACAAAGGTGTACAAAGCTTCCTCTAGGGGAATAGATGGCTCTGAACAGGTTCATTCGAAGAAGTCTGCACCCAAGGAAGAATGGCAAGGTCAAAGGGCAAGTTGTAGCACCATGGGAGAGGGCCACCAGTTGCAAGGTCCTAACAAGTTCCTGCTCCCAGCAGAGGTTGCGTCCAGAATTGCAAAGCTCTCCATCCAGCCATGGGCACCTGTGTGCCGCCTCCTCTGCAGCCACTGGTATGTGAGCAGTGGTTTCCGCACAACCTGCCTGGCAGACAGGACATTCACAGGCCATGTCCTGAAGGCTGCTGGCTCCTGGCCTGGCGTGGTGCAGCTTTTAAGCACTTCCCAGTCCTCATTCACCAGCTTCGCAGGGCCGAGGAATGAGGGAGCTTTCAGAGTTGAAGGAGGAGAAGGCCGCCGGATGGCGGAGGAGCAGGTGGAACTGGCAAGTGTCCAGTAGGAGAAGGAGCCAGAGGATGGCGCTGTTGCCCACATAGGCACAGGGATGGGCGGGCAGGCAGGCTGCAAGTGTGTGGACGCAGAGACTGGTGCGAAGGCACGCACAATGTTATATATACAAGCTTGATATATAACATGCCCAGTGTCCGTCACGCTTGCCTTGTACCAGGAACAGGATGAAAGTGAACCCCAGATGTCTGAAGTCAAATCAGGCCCACTGAGAGCTGTGGAACGACCGTGCTGCTGTGCCTGAAGTGCCGTGGCAGGGCCTGAGTGGTCTGCTATGATGCCTGGGGGCAGACAGGACCACAGTGCCACCTCTCCAGCGGCTGGAGTCTACTTTTGCACAGGTCCAAGAAACTCAATGCTTAGGAAGCTTCGTCAACAGGGAACAGGGTTTGCGGCCTGAGTTGGCATATGTAATGTTTTACAAAGTCCTTCTGACATTTTGGTCTTCCTAAAAGTCCCCTCCAAAATGTTTTCAAGAGTGTAAACAGCGGCTGGAATGATGTAATTTAGTCTAAGGGGTCTTATGACATGAAGTTAGAAACATTTTTGGTTGCCATTGTTTCAAAATGTCTCATCTTGTTAAATATGGTGTTTAAGGTATATAGATGTTAACTGCTTTTTTTCTGCTTTGGGTGTCTCTCAGGCATAAGCCCCGGTGAGGCAGGAACCCCAAGCAGGTAATCCTCCAAGCCTCACAGATGAAGCACATGCAGCTGTCGTATCTGGGTACAGGGAAATTCAGCCACAATGTCACAGCACTATGTGACGATGCTGTCTGCTTCTGACTTCTTGGCTGTGAGGAGCAGGTACTGGCTAGAGCAGCCACCTAGGGAAAGGGCCCTGGGGAGAAGATCTGTGCTGCCACGGTGGTCATTAAAAGCAGCACATCAAAGGTTTTGAAAAGTAGAACAGGAATCTGGTAAGTAGAGGCCAGGGGGAGTGTGACTCCACCTCACAATGCACTCTTCCTGGCTGGCCTCAGTTTCCACACTAAAGAGTGGGACCCCAGAGGTGGGTATGTTGGGAGAACAGGGCCATGCATGCTAAGGTCACC